GCAATTATCAGATTTACATGTATATAAGTACCGGTAAGAACTGTACCAGAATTGGAAATGGAATTGGGCTATGCGGTACTCACTTTAATGACTGGTGATGGAGCAAAGACTTTTTATGTGATATATTATTGTATTGTCTGTACACAGGTAGAGGCATATCGACTCCTTGCAAATATAAATAAAATGAGTTTTATGTTAGAAGATGAATTGGTTTTGGTTGTTGACAGTTGACTATAAATAATTTATATACTTTTAAGCATTAGCTAATTAGAATATAACAACTGCCGTACACAGAAATCCAAGCAGTGGCTTAAATCACGGTCAAGTGAAATTATGATCAGAGTCAACGAACTGGAGGTGTCAACATACATATAGTTCCTGGAAACTTTATATATTAATGGGTTTATCTAAAATGATACAAACTAAAGTGCACTTACCTGTGTAACAGGAGAAAAACGTATACCCTACCGCTAAATCAATAACATAAAAATGTCCAAGGAAAACATACATAAAACAATTTTAATGCTAACTATTTATGATGCCTACTAAACCTAAGGATGTGCAATGTCCGCAGAGAATAAGAAAATCCTTTCTAAACTAATGCAATCTAATTCTGACTTAACACCTCTAGTCCAACAACATAGGGTCATGCCCGATAATAAAAACGATGATTCAAATTAACGACGCCCATTCAGAAATAACCATTCACAAACGTAAAAATGTCACTGCATGACTCCTTCTTAGTGGCGGTTGATTAACACCAGGGCCGCTCCCGGGTCCTTGGCGCTCTCCTCAGGATTCGTAGCTCACAGCGGGCAATGGCACCGTCAGAGGATTGGCCAAACAGCACGAAAAGCTCTTTATATTCGCACGTTCCTGCACACACTCGTTGGCAATACTCTTCCCTGACAATTTTGTTTAATGTTTAACTTCAAAACTTAATGATTAAAAAGCAAATACGATGTATATTAATAGAAGAAAACGCGCGTTCGAAAAACGATTTCATGTCATCGACGTTTAACCGCCGTTGGCAATACCACTCGTTGGCAATACTCTTCCCTGACAATTTTGTTTAATGTTTAACTTCAAATCTTAATGATTAAAAAGCAAATACGATGTATATTAATAGAAGAAAACGCGCGTTCGAAAGACGATTTCATGTCATCGACGTTTAACCGCCGATTCAGGATCGCAGTGTGCTTTCCCAACTCTGTGAAACGAACTGTGCGTTTTCCTCATAATCATTGTATGTATGTGTTTAATATTATATTTCCAATTTACGAACATAAAGCAAAATACGATCCATATTCTCAACGGAAAAAAGGCCTCACAAGATCGGCGCTATGATGAGATTTTGATGCTCATGTCCCAGTGTTGTTACCTATTAAATTGGACGTGCAGACATGCGTATGAAGGCGTACAAAGTAGATCAATATACAACCAATGCAACACATAAGATGCTTGCATTTACTGGTCCTCCTGATGTAGACCTAGTGCACACACACTAGTATAACCTAAAAGTTGCTCTTTATTTTTGATTATGTATGAACGAGCTTTTTCTATCACTAACTCACATACGCACGCTTTATCACGTACGGTCTTACCATTAACGTTTAGTCTACGTTAACACGTTATGGTATGCAGGCATTGGTATATTAAGCACACAAAATGGTAAAATAAAAGAGCAAAGCTAAGCGGGAAAACGAATACACCTCAATCAAGCAGGTTGCAAGGTAAGTAGAACCAAGGACATTGAATATACGTTTTTGTATCTGTAACTAGACCAACATATACAGTACAAAATAACTGAGAGTTATTTGTTAAACTATAGGCAAGTCCAGTCGGAGAGGCGATAAGATTTCTGTCCACTTAAAACGTTACGTATATGTTTATGCTTCTTACTTAATGTCCCAAGGAACAGGGGAGAGTTGTCCATTCCGTGCCACTTAAGGAATAAATGCTTCTGCATCCATACTTATTAGATATACAGACTTGACATTTAATATGGAATATTTTCTAATCATTTGTCGTCAGTTTTTTCCCATACTTATTAGATATACATGTATGATGACCCCCACGGGTATATACACAGTGTACTGTATATCTATATCTTCATTCACACGCAGCCAAAAGTGAATTCGTCCAATATACTTCTCATTAGAGCCCGTGAAAAAGTTAAACTAAAGTGTGAATCAATTTGCTGCAAACAACTACTAATTTTGAAGTAAAGAAACTATGCAATTGGACGGGTGCCAGACCGATTTAGTCTTCCGAACTTCTGCTCCGTGGTCACCATTGTTTGCTAAACTTCAAACTGCAAAAAAAGTGAAAAATGCTTACCTCGTGAAGACGGATTTTGCCGCTGGTATTATGTTTTGGTTTTCGTAATCACCGCAAGTTGGCGCTTTGGTTTTGAGTTATGACCAGTGCCAATCTAAGGCACTGGTGGGAAGCGAGGTGGTACGATAACAATACCTGGTACAGAATGGGTAATGTTCCCCTATGATGCTGTGCACATTTCCCAATAGGCCTATAACCGTTGCATGAGCGAATATTATTAGTTTATATATGAACAACGCTACGTCGTATACACGGTAAGTTGTTTCTAAGACAATGATTTCCCTGAATGCAGAATGCAGTATCTGAGGAAGGAGTATGAGCTAGGATGGGGTGAGAATGGTATGGAGGGGGCATTTAAAGGCTTTGCGCCATACCGTCAGAATGGCCTGAACGGAATATTTTCTTCAGAAAACATGCCCAACTAACGATATCTTTATCCAAATACATCTACACAAATTAAAAGCTCATTTTTTTTTTTTGGCTTTTAAAAACGTCCTATTTGCTCGGCCTGGGAGTTAATGAGCTACGTGGCCACGTGGTCCGATAACGACAATCGTGCCACCGGAGAACAGAACGTGCTTAGCTGTCAAACTGAGCTCCATTGTCTACCTGTAAGATGACTTCTCTGGCTTCTGATAAAAGTTTGTACTCATTCAAATCTCTAAATCCCCGTGAAGCTGTGTAAAACCATTTCCCGTCTAGTCAGTTCTTTAACAAGCAATTAATTATGGTTATCCCAAGTTGTATAAAACACTGCATTTGAATGAGTTAAGGGTACTGTTGATTATTGCATATGAGGCGCATGTTATTTGTGAAATTCAATTAATTTTATTAAACCGCTAACACTCCGTCTTGCATACTTTTATTACACTGAGGTAAACAATGCCCGTTACCTTTACAAGTCTTATCTTAATCATCCATCTAACTGGAACTTCCTTTACCTCTTAATTAGAGGGTTAAATGGCATTCAATTCTCCTGTAGCGAGTATCTATCTGCCGATATTTATCTCAGGTAAAAATCTACCTGTGCGTTAGTTTCAAAGAGCAGCTCCCACAGACTTGGGGGTACTAGATAAATTCTGAACACCAGGTTTATCGAGGAGCTAGAGAAACAAAGGAAGAATTTTTCCTGCACAGCTTCATAGGAATTTTAACATGGACTTGATCCAGCTTAGACCTCCAAACTAACAGGGTGACAGGAGCAATTTTCACAAACAAATAATAAAACTATATTTCAGTTAGCCTCCTTTTAGATAAATATACCGGTCTGGGTAAATTAGAATATTTATCAAATCGCGAGAATATTTTTGACTTAAATGATGATTTTATTATTAATGGAAATTAAAGGTACATACGAACCGAGCATCGGTGGAGTGTGGATTCCCAGTAACACATGTAAACCACTTCTACTAGATTCTTATATGGCTCTAATAAATTCGACATGCCAAGGGATAAACTGAATAGATCACTCGATCAGCCATAAAAGACCTTTAGACTGCTCCTTTCTTTCAATTTATGGTTGTAAATTTAACCTACTTCCGTGACCTACTTTCCTACCCCATTGACATACAGCTTAGAATGCCAGCAGAAAAATCTGTTCAAACATCATTTTCGGGTAAAATTAAACAATGCCTTTTGGTAATTCTCTTAGTTATACTACTTGAAACTATATGCTGGCATTTGGTTGGTTTTTGTGACAAAAAATTGACTTTGTATGCACCTTTAAGCTACTACATGTATATGAGGTACATTTGCTGTAATTACGCTGTCCTTCATGTTTTGCGTTAGTCTACATTTTGCTGTACGTGCTTGTATTTTTTTTAAATCTGTGCGTACAACTTTTGCAGGTCTGGTAACTCCCCTGTTATGTGATGAAAGTCTAAATTTGGCAATTAGTTCCTTAGCTTATTTAAATAGAATTGCAGTGTAAAAAATTCAACAAGATGTTGGCGCAATAGCCCTTTACTCTTTGTGGGTATTTCCCCCGTCAAAGTTTGTCTATTTATCTAAAAGTATCTTTCAATCTTTGCTCTTTTTCCTGTTTTTCCTCAACACGTTTTCTTCCAAGGAAGTAATGCCTGGGCATACGCATGCTTAAAGATACCCTGAGAGCAATTTCTGTTATTAATGTTCGCGACCGTGTTTGATCACAATTGCTTAAATATTGATATTTAACGTCATTTACAAATTCCAATAAAATAACCCCATGAAATAAATGAGATATATTGAGAAATATTAAAGCCCACCAAGACGAGTTTGATACCTGTTATTATCTGGCTTGGGGATTGCAGCAGTGCATAATCAGCAGGTTTTATTGTTAACAAGCTCTTGGTCAACTACAATGTATTTAAAATGCATCAACAGTTAGTAAGCTTGCCAACTGAAGACAGGTAATCTAAAAGACTATTAGCTTTTGATGTGATCTAAAACACCTGAGGTGACCGAGATCGCGAGCATCGCAACTATTGTCACCGAAGTTAGTAAGTCACGGAAGACCGTCACAGACAAAGAAAGATTGTCAAGGAGTGCTGCAATTATGGTGAATCCCACGGCAACACACTGAGGCATGAAGAAAATTGCTCAACTCCGTTCAACACAACTTTCTTAAACTATTGTCTGTATGCACCATGCAGCTCAGGTAAGTATCATAGACCTTTATCCTCCTTGTCGTCTCAGTACCCATGACCCAGATCTGTTGCTTCATTTTTGCAAGGTGAGGTTTACTAAAACGCTTTTTTTCTACTAATAGATTGTTTTTATAAATTCTTAATGACGGGGATCGATTAAAACATACCTGTAGTGAATAGATTGAGTGCTGAATAGTCAAAATTCGAGAAATGGATTTTTGTGGGTCTATTCTCCTGACATACTCCGAACCACCAACACCACGAGCACTGACCTTCCACTGACTATTGTATCCTCCGAATGGTTAGCCCCGTGCACCTCCACAAAAGCACCAACTATGATTTTGCCCCTACTCGCCTATACGCATAAAAGATTTACGTAATTGCACATTAACAAAGTATTGGTTCGGGGGCGCTGAAGAGCCCCCCCCCCCCCCCCCCAAAAAAAAAAAAAAAAAAAAAATTTTTAGAGGGCAATGG